ACCAGACCCTGGTTGAAGTTCTGCCCTCTGGGGTCACACACACTTTGCCCGCTTTGTTAGGAGCTTCTGGGGCCACTGCCTGGGGCTACACGGGTCCATGTGCTGCCCTCACCCTCAGACTGGCAGAGCGGGCACGGGGTGTTGCCTGGGGAGGGGGAGGCTCAGACGCTGCCCTGCTCTCGTCCCCAGAGTCACCCCTTCATGCCCACAGTGGTGGATGGCGTGCTGCTGCCCAAAACCCCCGAAGAGATTCTGGCCGAGAAGAATTTCAACACTGTCCCCTACATCGTCGGCATCAACAAGCAAGAGTTTGGCTGGATCATCCCAACGGTGAGCACGTGCAGCCTCTTAGACTCTCCGCTCTCCCCGTCAGCCCTCCCAGCTCTGGTCACAGACGTCCGTCCTTCTCCAAGGCCCGATCTGAGTCCAAGACATCTGTCCCCTCCCTCCCAAGTTGTCATTTCCATGGAAACCTTCTCTGGGATGGCCCAGCTGTGACCAGGGTGCCACGGCCCTGAGAACTCCTCTCCCCAACACCCTTTGATCATCTTGCAATGAAAGAATCCTGCTTGGTGTCCGTGCTGGGAGGGCCTGTGGAGGTAACGGTTATGCAGATGGAAACGGAGGAGCCTGGAACGGGGAGGGAGCTCGGGAGTTGAGGCGAGTCAGGCCTGGGCGGCGGCTTCTCACCTTGGGCCTGGTGCGCAGTTTCCCATGAATCTCCACGCACGCTCTCAGTCGTCTCTCTGGAGAGATTCAGAGCGAGTTGGTTCTCCTTGAGTTAAGAGTGACTCTAAATGCGCAGAAAGAATTTCCTTCCTGTCCAACGTAGACAAAGCCAACCCCAGTTAGAGCCGTAGGACAGGTTTTATTCAGAAACACGACTGCAGTAGGGAGTTGTCCAGTGCGGACGGGCCCCGAATCCCTGAAACAAAGGCTGGGACTGTCCTAAAGCCCGGCTGTGCTAAAGGAAAGCCCTATGGGGTGCGGAGTTGGGGTGGTTAGTCCGTGAGGCTCCACCACCTGGATGTGTGAGTCCCCCTCATCTGGAGGAGAAACAGGAGGCCGTGGTGTAGACTGAAGTGAGGCCCTCCCTGAAGTGAGGCGCGAATCTTTGCACAGGACTGGGAGGGAGACCCAGGGTTGCCTCCCTGAAGGTTTGCACTTAATAGAGAGGCCTCTCAGGCCCTGGAGGAAGCAGTCTGGGTGGTAGATTTGCATCCCAAGGGCAGAGAAAGGCCTTGTACTTGCAGGCTGCCTAAAGTGACTGCTCTGGGAGGGGCTGAGGGGCTTCTGCCTGTCACCAGGTTTTGGCTGCAGCAGAGAGTAAGTTCTCCTGGCAGGTGGAGCTTTCTCAGGCAGGCATTGTATGGGGGCTGGAGCCATTGTCGGGGGCATTGACCTTAAGCTGCTAGGAGACCTGCTAGGGCTTGAGGAAGTCTCTGGGTGCAGAGGTTTGGACAGAGTCGTTATGTGCTGAGAGTTCTGCAGTTCTGCCTTCAGAAGAATATCAGAGGTTATGCCTAAGACCAAAGCCGTGATGGAAGGATTCGGGAGTTTCTATGTCATCTGCGACAGGTGGGGAATTTGAGAGGTCTGTGTCACCTGCCCCAGAGCCCTTGACTTCAACGCTAGCCTGGCTACAGCTTCCCTCTCTTACTCCCTGACCACTGTGGGGATTCTAGTGGGATGCACACGCACACCACGTGCACACACCCACAAACACACATGCACACCACACACACACACGCACCCACAAACACACATGCACCTGCACACATGCTGCAAAAACTGACATAGCTTCTCCTAAATTTTTTTTTATCCTCTTTACAATCCTTAAATTTCTGGATGCAAGTCCATTTGATTCATTGATTTTCACAGTTCATTAATGACCCATGCTTTTCAAGGCCCAAGAAAATTAGAGGACCTTCAGTCTGTGTTGGTTTGGTTCATTGGTCAGTTTGGCTCTTATCAATTCCTGATAATTCACAAAATCTTAACCATTTTTTTTGTAATAGATGATGGGCTATCTGCATTCTGAAGGCAAACTGGACCAGAAGACGGCCACGTCACTCTTGTGGAAGTTGTACCCCGTTGTTGTAAGAGTCTAGGAATCGTGGGAATTGGTTGAGACCCAAAGAGCGGCAGGGACTTGTCCCGAATCACAGATCAATTAAATTACAGAGTGGAAACTGGGGCTTGAGGGTTCTACCCTCACTTTTCTACCTTCCCCACTTGATCATCCTGGGGCTGAGGGGGGAGTTGCCCAGGGCTGGGGCGGTTCTCCATCAGTGCGAGCCTCGCTCACTGGCCAGAGAAGCTGCACTGCTCACCAGGGCTCATGGTCACCGTCTTGATCTATTTCAGGGCATCCCTGAAGAGCTGACTTCGGTGGCCACTGAGGAGTATTTAGGAGGAACAGAGGACCCTGTCAAAAAGAAAGACCTGTTCCTGGACTTGCTTGGAGATGTCTTACTTGGTGTCCCATCTGCAATTCTGGCCCAACGGCACAGAGGTGAGTCCTAGAGGCTAGACGGGAGAGGAACACAGACCCCACCAGCTCCAGTGTCTGACCTGCCCACCTCCCAGCATAGACAGATGTGGACACTACCGAAGGTCAGGCCTCACAGGCAAGTCCCGTATGGCATAAGATGTGCCGCTGTCCTATTTGGGTTTCTGCCTGCAGCAGACTCTGAGACAATGATCCAGGCGCATGCAGTTTATTTGTCAGGTAATGGTAGAAAACATCAGCAGGGAGGTGGAGAAGTGTCAGAGGGAAGAGATGGAAGACAATCCGTGAAGTGTTGCCCATCAAGTGTCCACTGTACACAGCTGAAGCTGGGAGCTCTGGAAACAAGCAGAGGACACGGCTCAGGGTTGTCCCCTCTGAGCAGGAGGAGCTGGGGTATTCATCCACCAGTTCTCAGTTGTC